TATGCTGCCCAGATGGATGTTGACACCGTCTCACAACTGGTGATATGCTGTGTCTCACACCCAGAAATTGGCGCTATTTTGAAAAAGGAAAATTAAATTATTTTCAACCGTAGATTAGAACAATGCAATATTGCATCACAAAATATAAGAAGTTTATATATCTGCTTCGGCGTACACGAAAAAGTTGGCTCATATAAAAAGAAATGTTTTTATTTAAACCAATCGGCTTTTTAATATTGCATGTTAAAAAATTGACTGTCTCACAACTGGAGACTCTCCCCTATTTTTTTCGATTTAATATATATTTATAAGTAAAATTAATCAAATTTAAAGTATGAATAGTGATTTTTAAAAGGGTTTTCACGGGCTATAAGCTGGTGACCTTTTTTCTATGAGCCATTTAAAAATCAGAGTGGGACCATGAGAATTTTTGAGGAAAATAATAATTTATCATTATTTTACATAGAAAATGATGATTTATAATTAATTTCTTCAAAAAGATCCATGGTCCCACTCTGATTTTTACATGGCTCATATGAAAAAAGGTAAGCTTTCGATTGGGATAGGTTACGAAAAAATAAAAAACACCGATGTTGAGATACAGTAGAACTTGGTTAATACGATTCTGTAGGGAATCGATTAAACGGGATCGTATTAACCGGGTTCTACTGTATATAGAAATTAAGAATTTGACCTTGAATTTCAAGGTCAAATTGACAGAAAACAACTTGTTTTTCATCACCAGCTTATAGCCCGTGAAAACCCCTTTAAAAATCACTATTCATACTTTAAATTTGATTATTTTTACTTATAAATATATTAAATCGAAAAAAATATATTTTCAAAAAAATCAAAATTTTGAAACTCCATAACTCAAAAAATATTTTATCAAATTCAAAAAAAATTACTAATAATACTAATAATAATACTAATAATAACTAATAATAATAATAATAATAATATAATAATGATATAATAATATAATAATAATAATAATTTACTAATAATACTAATTACTTCTACTAATAATAGTAACATTTTAGCAAAGTTTAGAGAAAATTCATTTGTCCAACGCCTGCAGTGGAATTGAACTATTGTACGCTAGGCACCAGTGGAGGAAAGTGCTACTTTCCTCCACTGGTGGTTTGGCCAGTGGAGAAATGAGTTTAATGACTGGAAGAAAAATAGAATTATTTGTGTTTTCCTTTTAAATTGTTAATATTCATGTAACTTACGTAACTAAACTAAGGGTATGACTTACATAGTTTACGCAAGGTACGTAATTTACGTAAGTAACGTAACATACCCAAATACGTAAGTTATGTTCTTGCGTAAATTACGTAAGTTATGTTCTTACGTAAAGTACGTAAGTTATATTCTTACGTAATTTACGTAAATTATGTTCTTACGTAACAATAACCAAATCATAAAGAGTTTTTTCGCTTTGAATTATTAAAAATGTAATACATTAGTGAGTTACACATTTTGAAATATTAATTATTAACATTGTTATAACCACAAAAATCTTATAAATAAAAATTGAGTTAAATAAAATAAGTTTTGCAGTTGTTGGACAAAGTATCGTATACAATTCGTGGAGAAAAACGATTTTCGCTCGCTTGATTGCTGCACTCGCTACGCTCGAGCAGCAAACTTCAGCTCGCGAGAAATCGCCCTTTTTCTCCACTCGTTGCACAATATACTATTTTTTACCTGGGCAGTTGAGGAATTTAGCCCCATATGTTCGTAATATATGGTTACGTTTTATTTTTTTACTCCGAATCCCTTTGAGATCTCAAGATAAAACTTACAGGACATGTAAAGCACATTTGCCCTAACATTTAGTAAAATTTTGAAAAAATCTAAGATGATGTTTTTTCAAAAACAGATTTTTAATTTTTCAAAATTTCAGAAAAAAAAATTTTTGAATTTTTTTTTTATATTAGGTAATTTTAACTTAAAATATACTTAAAACCAAAGAAATCCTTTTTTTAAAATCCAAAATCGGTTAATTAGAACCAAAGTTTCAAAAAAAAAAGACAAAAAGTTTGAAAATGACATATTTTTGGTAATTTTCAAAATTTTGAAAAAATATTTGGTGGAGTTGTTTTTTGGAGTTTTTTTTATATTAGGTAATTTTAACTTAAAATATACTTAAAACCAAAGAAATATTTTTTTTAAAATCCAAAATCGGTTAATTAGAACCAAAGTTTCAAAAAAAAAGACAAAAAGTTTGAAAATGACATATTTTTGGTAATTTTCAAAATTTTGAAAAAATATTTGGTGGAGTTGTTTATCACTATAAAAGTAATGAATTTACAAAATTACAGTCAAATCCCAACAAGTCATGAAAATAAGTGTGTTGAACTGACGTGGAATCCACCAATATACAAGTACCTAATCAGTTATTTGATTCAAATAAATATTCTTCCAGTGTAGCAAATAAATATTTACAAAATGAAGCAATTTTTTCTACTATTTTTGAAATAAATTTAAGATTTTCGAATTTTACTCAAAATGAAAATTGTTTTTTAAGACATAAGGTAAATTGTTTTTAAAGTTCATAAAAATACTTTCTATAATTGAAATATTTTTGTTAAGGGCATTTGAACCTTGATGACGTTACAGATTGTGCAAAGCATGTGTGACGTCATCAAGGTTCAAATGCCCTTAACAAATAAAAATTATTCCTCAATAAAAATTGTTATTACCTAAGTAAAAATTTTCCTAAATTAATAATTTATTTAATAATTATTAAATATTAAATTTATTATTTAATTCAATTGATTATTTAATTATTAAAATAATTATTAAATTATTTTGCAATGCAAAGATTAATCGTATAAAAAACATGGTGTTGAGATGAGATGCATAAAAAAATAAAAGTCGACTTTCAAACAGATCCTATCAAGAGAGACGATATTCAATTAACAAATTGTTTCTTTTTTATCAAGATTTGTAAGAGATGAAATAATTTTTTTTCGGTTTTCCATCCCTGCGGAAGTAGCTACCAAACTAATTAAGATATTCATTTGCAAAAATAATGAATTATACAAAAGGAGGAAAAAAACAGCGGATTTAAATTCATTCAAATGTAAAAATGTCATTTCGCTAATTCGCTGAAGTGATAATAATTGTTAAAACAATCCGTAAACAAAATTTTTATTTCCAACTATTATACTATTATTATACTATTATATTTGTTGATAATAATTCTATAATTATAATTATTATAATAATATTATATTATGATATTATGAAAAAAGCCTAACGATAAATTAATTATTATTTGTAACGCGTTCCGAAGAAAGGTACCTAAGAAGCAAACAATTTTAAGGTTATGCTTATGTTAATTTTACTGTACTTAAAAGTTTCTTTAATTTAAAATTAAAATCAGTGTTTATTAATTATTTTCAATGTAATAAAGACGTAAACATCAGTGATTTAAATATATAGAAAGTTAATTAATCTCCTTACTGTATTTTCATTCCAAAAACAACAAACAGAACCTCTAATTTTTTGTTTCTTTTTCTTCGGATCACGTCACATTTATTATTATATTCATAATTATAAATTAAATTTTAGACTAACTTACACTGTACTCTCAAATTTTTTTCCAGTTTAAATTTCAAAAGTAGATTATATTTTATAATTATTTTTCTTTTATCGTTCGCCCTTAAAGTTATTGTACTTTTGGACAGTCAAGTAAAAATGTAGGATACAATAATATTTTTCTTTCTTCTTTTTAATCAGTTTTATTTTCATCATACACTTTGAACTATGAATGTAAATTATTAAAAATTTCTTGTAATTTTCCCTTGAAACACTCTTTTTTTAAAAAAAAGACTTTTACGAAAGTATCAATGTTGGACTAACTTTTCACTTGACATCTGTCCAATTCCATTCTGTACGTAAAAACCAAAAAACATAAAGCAGAGGTCAAACATTTTTATATTTCTTTAGTCATATATTATCATATAAAATTCTATAAATTATAACTCAAGATAATCTCAAGGGTATCAAATGAATATTTATATAGGCTTATTTCAAGGCATTATTGACTTTATATTGTAATTATTGAAAATTATTTTCGATAATATTGTATAATATTGAATAAACCTATAGATTAGGATCGGATCCGAAAAAAAATTCTATTCTTTTAGAAATAAAATATACCTATCTCTAAAAATACAATAATAAAATTAATATTAATATTTAAAAACAAGTTAAAAAATTTTCCGTTTGCAGACAAATTTTCTTTTAAAAATTTCGAATTCAAAATTCTTGTTTATTATTTGAGAAAATATAAAAATTTATTTATATAGCACTTTATTTTTCAATTATTTATTTATTACTTTCTTTATTCGATTTTTTATTTATTTATTATTATATTCATTTGATTTATTGTTTATCTATTTATTTTTCTACTCATTTGACTTTTATTTATTATTGTTCTTTTTACTTTGTTTATGTATTCCGTTTATTTATTTTATTCTGTCGACTTTTTATTTATAAACTATTTTAATTGTATGATTTTTTATTTATTTATTATTATATTTATTTGTCATTTTATTTAGTTGACTATTTATGCATTTATCATTTTCTTTATTTGATTTTTTTGTTTATAATTTTATTTATTTACTATTTAATTTACTTGATTTTTTATTTATAAACTTATTTATTTATTATTTTACTCATTTGACTTATTATTTATTATTTGATTTTGTTTATGTATTCCGTTTATTTATTTATTTTTTTCTTTTGACTTTTTATTTATAAACTATTTGAAATTTTAAACTATTTTAAATAGATATTTATTATTATTTTATTGGAGTGAAAAAAATCAACGTAAAAAAATGAATAAAAATACAACTTTCCTTTTGGTCCATCCGATTTTTCCTTTAAAAAAATTTTTAAAAAATATATGCACAAAGGTAAATTATTGATATTGGGCCCCTGGTACTAAAGAGTATAAGTTCATTGGGACTGGGATAGGATGGGTCCAATATGTTATGGTGGGGAGCAATTCTATATAACTGATGCTAAAGTCGGACGTCTCTGCATAATCTATCAGTGTGTGATTCTTTGAACGTCAACCTGTCCAACTGCCTTAATCAAGGTGAGTGTCGACAGTTATTTAGTTTTCTCTTTTTTTTCAAAGAAAAAATTCGTTCTTTTTTTTCTCATACTAATTCATTAGAAAAACACTTCTTTTCTATTAATATTTTATAAAACTCCCATGTGATCGAAACGAGGAAAAATAATATCTTCTCATTAGTGATAAAAATGTAAAAAATAAAAAGTTTTTCGTAAAACGAAAAATAATAGAAAATACCTTCTCATGTGATGAGAATGTAAAAATCACAAGTGGATTAATTGAGTGAATTTTGTGTTAATATATAGTGCGCCGTTGAGGTGAAAATAATAAAAAAAATTAATAAATTTAATCACTTCTCCCTTGATATTAAAAGAAAGTGATGAAAATAAATTTATTGTTTCATGTCCTGAGAAAAAAAATTTTATTTTTGTCTTTATAATTTTTATTCGGTTCAAATCATTTTTTTGTCAAATAAATTTTACTTGGTTCAAGTATTTTTTATTTGATTCAAATATTTTATAGTTGATTCAAATAAATTTTATTTTAGTCCCCTATTTATTTATACATTTCCCGCGTTTTTATATTTTTTACTTGGTTCAAATAATTTTTATTGGTGAATAAATTTTACTTGGTTCAAATAATTTTTATTGGTGAATAAATTTTACTTGGTTCAACTAATTTTTATTGTCAAATAATTTTTGCTTCAATTAATTTTTATTCAGATCAAATAATTTTTATTCCGTTCAAATAATGTTTATTTGATTAAAATAATTTTTAATTTAGTCAATATCATTTTAATTTGTTTCAAATATTTAAATATATATATTACACTTGGTTCAAATAATTTTTATTTGATTCAAATAAAATTTATTTTATTCAAATCGTTTTTATTTACTAAAAATAATTTTTCCTTTCTTCAAAATAAACTTTATTCAATTCAAATAGAATTTTCCTTGTTTAAAATAAATTTTATTTACATCAGACAAAGTTTAATTAGTTCAAATAAAAATGTAACATTTTTTTTATACTTATAAAATATATTTGTTATTGCAAACTTTTTCATTTATTTACAAAATTTTAGTTCAATGAAAACTTTAGAGTCCATATATTAAATAAATAAATAAATAAATATATAAATTTAATTATAAAAAAAAGAAGTATTCGAAAAAAAAATTATAACATTAAAAAGTCTCATCGCTATTTGTGCAATAGAATAAAGTGAAGAAATTTCAGTAGAACAAGTTTTCATTTGTCAGACAATAATTACTAAACATAGACATAATATGTAATCGTGTACAAAAAAAAATTGAAACAAATTTTTAAAGGAAAAAAAAATTTCTCTCATTCTCAGAGTTTATACGACACACCCTATATCTGATGGGAATCTTCCTTTCACTGCAACCCGTAAATATAAAAATATTTTCACTTGTTGCAAGTGAAATGTGTTCGCGTCTTCTGATTGTTGCAAAATATATATACATATACTAATGATTATAAATTGTAATAAAAAACGAAAAAAAAATTAATACATCATTATTGAAAAAATTTTTCATTTTCCTCAATTAGTTATTTATTTAAACAAAATTATAACAAATTAACAATTTTAATATTATTTAGTCAATATACAAGTCTATAAAAATATAAAATGATCTAATTGTCTTATTTTTTATTTTTTTTAATAATAAACTTTTATTTTTTAGATAAACAAATTAAAATTAGCTAAAAGAATATTTTTTGCAGATATTTTTTTTCTTTATTTGTTTAATAAAAAATTTTTTTGTTATAAAAAATTAAAATTAGCTAAAAAAAATATTTATTGCTGACATTTTATTTTCTTTATTGGTTTAATAAAAAATTGTTTCGTTAGTTAAAAAAAAATTAAAATTAGCTAACAGAATATTTTTTGAAATTTTTTTTTCTTGTTCTTTGAGACAAAATTGACAAATTTTTAATTACTTTGAAAATAGATGACGTGGTCGACGCTGGCCGTCGTGGTGATTTTAGCAGTAATCGCAAACGTGGACTCAGCTATTAATGAGGCACGACCACACAGTAATAGACCAGGAAGATTTTTGTCCTTACCAGTACCACAAAAATGTGCAAACAGTAAGTACATTATTTTCCTATTTTTCCTATTTATTACTTTTTCAATTTTGCTATTTTCCGGTTTCATATATACATTTTTTTTAATTATTTCTTTATATATTTTTAATTTCTATATAATTATCTTCTAATAATATTGTTATTTATTTATTAATTCTGGACGTTGGGGATCGAACCAATGACCCTAACGACTGCGACCATCCCAAAATTTCTTTTCTTTTATTTACTTAAACAAAATTAATTCGAACCCGAATTAAATTGTTATATTTGGTTGCAATTTTAGTACAATAAAAAATAAAAAGTAGTAAAATTCTTCTTAATAATAAAATAATAAATATATTTAATAAACAAACAATATATTATTAATACATTTATTTATTAAATTTATTTACTTACTGAGTAATAATTTTGCACTCGTTTCGCACTCATTCTTATATTTAGTAAACAATAAATAAGTATTTACAAGAATAAATAAATTTACTGTAAATAGTAAATAAACAATTTAAAAAATAAATAAATTTACAGTAAATAGTGAATTTATTGTGAATAATATTTTTTGGGCGGGAAAAACACCTGAAAAAAAACAATATACTCAACAACAAAAAGCCATTTTGACCTATCATTTAAAGCAAAAAATAAAAAGCCAGAAAAAAAGAACGACAAACTTGATAAAATATTTCTCTCGACAATAGGTCCTAACACGATTTTCTACTCATTTCAATTTTAATTTCCTGTTATTCGTGCAATAGAGAACTTGTTTCCGCGTGTATAAAGAAGAATATATTTATGTACTGCTAAAGTCTTAACTTTTAAATGCCATCATCCATCTATATTTCCCCATCATCATTGTCAAAGTTCTCGATAATTCCCAGGCGGAAAAGTCGGACGAACGTCGGAGTTTACAACCGGCTGGGATCCGCGCCCGTACAGACCGCAAGTACCGACGGTCTGTACCGATTCGGATCTGAAAAAGCAACCGGCGCGGTACAGATTATGCTCCGACTGTCGGAACCGTCTTCCCACTATTGTCAGTACTGGCTCGGTACTGGATTTCTTCCGCCGGCGGATCTTATTCTTCTGCGGCGTCGAAAGAATGACGGATATGTTGAGTCTGTACTGGCTCGGTACTGGGGAGGATCCGACTGCGGATCTCGTCATTTATTGTCACATTATAAATTAAATAATTATTACAAGTAATTGCATTATTTTAGAAAATAATTATTAATAAATGAATCTAATCAATATATTAAGTAATTATTTATTGAGAATTTTTTAAGAATTAAATAATTAAAACAATTCGTTATTAATTAATATTATATATATTATTAATTAACATTAATATTATTGAGAATTAATAATAAATTATTAATATTAATAATAATATTAATTAATAATATCTTAATAATAATAAATTTATTGTTATTGATATATTATTAATTAATATTAATATTGATAATTTATTATTAATTCTCAATAATATTAATGTTAATTAATAATATCTTAATAATAATAAATTTATTATTATTGAGATGTTAATTAAAATTATTAATATTATTACGTTCAATATTATTATATTGAAAAACAATTATTCAATATAATATGTATTATATAATAATAAAAATATAACAAGTTTCTTTTTTAACGAAATATTGAAATAGTCCTAAATATACATTCAATAAAGTATTGAAAATATAGCGGTATCATTGACGCGTAGTAATTCTGCAAGTTTTATTTGAGCTAGTGACACTTGAGAGTATTTAAGATTTGAGAGTCCCATGCGAGCGTAGCATAGTGGTTAGCGTGCGAGATTTCGGTGCGTAAATATTCGGTTAGGCGTAGGTTCCGTACCCCCAAGCGTTAGGATTTTTCAAATGTCTATGTAATAAAAAATTGCGTTTAAGTGAATAAAAAAATAAAAAAAATGTGTAAAGTGAACTGTCAATGAATTGTCATCAGTATTTATCTTTTGCAATTAATTATTATTTTTGTATTGATATTTGTTGAAATTATCATTTGGATCCGACCCGGTTGTTAGTCGGTAGAATGCCAGCGCTCGGCTGGCTATTAAATGAAAAATCCACGGTCGGTAGAGTGCCAGGTCCCAGCCGGTTGAATTATACACGGAACGGCTTCTCCCGGCCGGTCAGCGGGCGGTAGAATGCCAGTTCCGAGCCGGTTGCCAGCGCGCTCCTGGCCTAGTCACTATTCGGTAGAATGCCCGTTCACATTCGGTTGGCAAGCGGTTCCGAGCCAGTACAGTTACACCGGCGTCAGTACGGGCTAGGATCCGCGCCGGTTGGAAATTTCCGCCTGGGATTTCGTTCCTTTTTTCGGCATTAATGCAAATTATCACCTGATTAAGGTTTCTCGTAAATTTCATTTAAATTTTATACATATATACATTATTTCAAATCAAAGTTTTTTATTATTGCACAATAAGCAAAAGAAAAAAAAATTACAAAAAGCCAAGAGCACAGGAGGCGTTTCAGATAAATATTATGCATTATAGAAGAAGAAAGTTTTTTTTTGACACCATAAGTGTGAGATAGCGATCTGTATAATATAATCAATTATATAGAAAGAAAGAAAGAAAGAGAGAAATAATTCCCCCGAGAAAAATTTTTCTTTTTTTTCGAATTATATAACCGCAATTATTTATTATGTAAATGTTGGTCATCATTTTTTTGAGTCAATTTCGAACCTATTGAATAATTCATATAGAAATGTGACAAAATTATTTTTTTTACATTCTTCATTCACTTTGGAATAAATGAATATTAAGTTTCTCTTCGTCAAAACGCCATGGGCGTTTAAAAATATTAAAACTGAGCGACCAAAAAATTACATTAAAACGATAATCTTTGCTTTTGTTTTAAAAAAAAAAATTATTTATTTAACAATTTATACGGACTTACAAAAAGGAAAACCGGAAAAACAAAAGAAAAAGTAAGAAAAATAATGCATTAACAAAATTAAAAAAATAAATAAATACAAAAGCAACAAAATAAAAAAAACAAGAAGAATTAACAAATGTAAAGTAACAAAAGGAAAAAAAAGAAAAATAAATAGAAAAGCAACAAAATTAAAAAATGAGAATAAAAAAATAAAAAATAAATATAAAAAGTAAATAAAAAAAATAAATAAATGGATAAATTAAATTGCAAAGAATCACGTGATGCAGTAAACGATATGATGTTGCGGTATAGATAAATTTTTTTCACCTCGTTAAAAAAGTCAGTGACCCATAATCTAAGAAACAATAGGTTCATCTGACGATCAAATCTTTTAAATTCATCTGACCGATTTTCTATTCATTCGATTTTTTTCTTTCTTTCTTTTTTATCTCTTTTATTTTTTTATCATATTCTCATCTTATTATTGTCACCTATACACAGAAAATAACAAACAAACAAACAAAAAATTAATCACCTTTCCTAAAAGGACATATTATTTCGTATTGAACATAAATCCCTTATTCAAGTTGCTTTATCTGAAGAGAAGAATCTCAAAGATTGCTACTACTTCTTCTTTTTCAATATATAATAATTTAGTTTCAAAACAATTTTTCTCAAGTCGTTTAGGAAAATTTTATAACTATTTTGCCATATATAAAGCGATTTTTAGATGTTATACGTTATACCTTTTTTACACTTTCAGTAACGTTAAATGCGTATTAGAAAAAAGAAAATTCTTTTCGATTTCGAAATATATTTCATAATACTGTGACTATTATGTTGAATATAAATTTCTTCACCTATATAATAAAATAGTTTTAGAAATATAAGTATTATTATCTTTTTATAATAAACATTTTTTTTATAATTGAGTTTTATAAATTTTGCTACTATAAATTTATTATAATAGCAATTACTATTTTAAATTATTTACATTTTATAAATTTTGTTATTAATAATATACAATTAATTAACATCTATAAAAAAAAAATAATCCAATATAAGGAATCCAAATATATTAATAACATTTTTTTCAGAGAGGAGTAAATAAACAAAACAAAAAAAAAAAATTTTTATTTTTTTATTTAAAAATTAATTTTTTTAATAACTTTATTTGCATTTCAAAGTACATACTTTTACCTGGTGTAAATTTTATAAAAATCCATAAAAAATATTCCGAGATATTCAAAATTTTATAAAATTAATATTAAAATTCAAAATGGCGTATCTTCAACAATTTTGAATTTTTTTTGAAAAAATTTGGGGGAAAGAAGTCTCTTATATAGAACTATAATCCCACGAAGTTTTGGAAAAATCGGCATACCCTTTGCAAATCGTGATATTTCTGACGTGAAATGCCTCAGCAATGTTTAGCTAAATTCGTTGAAACCTCTACGAGTAATCGTGTTAAAAAAAAGGGATCCACACATACATACATTCGGACATTTGTACAGGGTCTATTATATAACACATTCCTATATTGAAGAAAATTTGTTTAAAGCTTTTTTCAAAATTTTATAAATTAAACGACTACAAAGCTTTCTCCACGAGGAAGAAAAATAAAGTAACAAACAAAAGCACAAAGAATAGAAATTTATATATAGTAATATTAGGGGAGAGTTGTTAGAGTTGGGTATAGTTTTGACTTCTCTTCATAACTTCCCCTGTAGAACGAATTTCGCGATTTTGCGAATATTTTTGGAAAGATCAACTCAAATGCAATGTTTTTGCTGAACATTGTAAAAAAATCGGACCAAAAGTTTCAGAGTTATAAGCAATTTAAAAAAAATGTTGCCAGAGTTGATCATGGTTGCCAGAGTTGGGACACTGTAGAATAGTATATTAAGCAACAAGAGGATAAAGCCATTTATAAAAATAATTAGATATTAAAAAAAGGTTCTATTACATTTATTTACGAATTTCTTTAATTGTAAAATTATTCAAGAACATCAATAACTTCTATTTAAAATAAATATTTAATTATTATTATTTTTCCATAGAAATTAAGATTTGAAAAAAATTCAAATTTAAACCTTTTAAAATTCAACA